CACACACACACACACACACACACACACACACACACACAACACACACACATTTATTTCCGTATGCGCTTGAGAATAGTGCAAAATGAATGTTCTTGACAACAGCAAACAAACGAAGAAGAAAAAACTTGATGGAATGAAAGCAGCGACTTCGAAAGCCACCTATGAATACAGCCGCTGTATTTGCAGCAAAAGAATACATACGGTGGTGGTGATGAAGTAGAAAAATCAGGAATAAATACATAAACATTCGACCAATCTAACGGAAGAAGCGTCGGAGTTTTTTGTCTGTTTTACTCAAGTTTCTCAAGTATACATGTGTCTGATGTGACGAGCGTGCGCGTTCTTCTCAATTGCGCACACCAATTGCTCAAAATATGTTCGTGAAATTCATCTAGAAAAAATATTCTTTTTGAATCTGAATCAAATCTTTTAACGAGAGTTTTTCTCAAGACCATTTACTACGAAAATTCGAATGCATACTTTCAAGTATATTTCCAAACGACCATTTTTGGATTAAGTACTACAACATTCTGGTTTCAGACTCTCTCTCCCTCCCATCCTCTAATATACAGAAATTGGTTATGATTTACTGAATTGGCCAGTTTGTGTGCGCGTTTATAAGTGCAAAATGTGCGCGCGTTTATAAGTGCAATATACCGATTTTGGCATGAGCCAGCAATCGCAGCAACATTATTTACTTTGGTCATTTTCAGGTCTCAGAGGATAAGATCGATTTGAAATCAGCGCACAGAAAAAAAAGAAAGGTTATCTCGATTTCCTGTCTCTTTCATTCTGTTCATGCTTCATTATTATATTTCAAAGATAATAACAAATTGTTCGGCGCTTTTTCTCTCTCTCTCACTCTCTCTATTCATCTTAATTGGATCCACTTGAAAATTGTAGTGTGCTGATTTGCAATCTTTGTATCTCGATCAAGAGTGAGTGAGTAAGAGAAGTGCATCGATTGTCGTTGTTTTTTTTTAGTATATATGTACTAATTAGATCAATGCTGGTGCAAAATATATCAAAAAAAAAATTGTTGTCTGTGGTGTGCCGTTGTTCGTTTGTTCGATCCATCGCTCTAATCGCGCACCTGTCATCATCGTATTTCTATTATATGCACACTCCCATAGCCAATTTGAACATAGCAGTGCAGTCATTTGAGTGCATTTTTTCACATTGAAGTTTCTACTGTTTGCACACGAGACACAACATGCACAGAAAGCAACAACTCTAATGAATCAACTTTATGATGATGGTTTTTTTTGTATATACTTTGTAGTGTTTGATGTGGTGTGTGTGTGTTTTGGATGCCCGCAAAGAATGCGCGCACAGTCAGGCTGGCAGCCCATTTAAGAAAAGCCCGTTTTGCATGTTTCGTTTCGCCAAACTCTATACACACTCTCATTCACTTGTTTGTTCACAATATGTTTACATATGAGTGTGATACACTGAATGCAAAACAGAAGAGAAAAAAAAATACAACTCCATAGCTTGATATTTCCATTCACATGCTTTCCTATTTTAGCTTGCGCAATTCGGCGGTTATACCATTTCATTTTACCTGTTCTCTCGACATTAGAAACAAAAAAAAACCTGTTCAGATGCAGCATTTTTTTTTTTTGCTCTTGCTCTCTTGTATTTGCTTATGAGTTTTTTTTTGTGTTCATGTGTGTATGCATTTCAAATGTTTCTATATTATAAATGACCCCGTTCTGTCTCTGAATTATATTCGACAAATGCATGCTGCGTCGATTTTGTAGTATTTACTCTTTAATGCTGCGGTTGTTATGTTTTGCACTTGTTTGTATTTTATAATAAAAAATTATAAAAGCATTTAACACGATCATTATTTTAATTAAATTTATTATTGAGATTTATTTTTACCATCGTGTTCTTACACACAGATCATTTGTTTTTAAGTAGTTCTGTGGTATTTTTACTCTTCAATGTATATATAGGTTTTATTTTATGTATTCTAACGAGGTTGAGCGGAGAAAGAGATAGAATGAATTCGTAGAAATTATAATGCGATTTATAATCGTCTGAATGAAATATGCTACTCCATAAAAAAAAACCGAGTAATAACTTAGCGAATTAACACACTAATTCATTGGCAAAGCGGTCGGTCAGTTCATGTCGATTTTCGTTTCTTTCTTTTTTTTCGTTCAAAGTTTTTGCTTTTAATACCAAGGAGTACAAATTGAATTTTTATCATCAAGAATCATTAGGTTGAGAATATATCACGATTGGACGGACTATATCTTTATTGTTGATGTTGTTTTTCATCTTCGATTTTTCATTTTCAATTGCATTGCGCATTTTAAACCTCGGGCCAAATTACTATTCTATAGATTTATCGCACTAAAATTGCCATATCGTTCGATGCCATGAACGATGCGAATAATGGAAGAAAATGAAGAACTATAAGAGTATGTATCTATTACATAGATTATTAATTTATCGTTCCATAATAAATCTATGAGGGATCAGTTTTGGGATCTCTCTTTCTCTCTTCAATCATTCAAGTGACTGATCGTGTGCGGTAATGTTCTCCGTTTTCACATCGAAAATAAAAAGAATAATTCGAACGCCGCTCTTTTTCCAACCAGAGTGAGAATGAAAAGGATGGCAAGAACGTTGTGGTGCATATGTTGTGTGGCCAAAAGCATCAATCGCGGTAAATCATATAATTTTTGTTGTTTTCCTTCACCTCGCTCTCCATTTATCGTTTTCTTCAACTTCTTCTTTGCGTTTCTTTGATTGATTTTCAAACTGTGCTGTGATCGAACTGCAATTCAAGCGAATGCACTCGTATTCAATTGCATAAGCAAAAATCTATTGAGATTTAAAGCAAAAAAAAAATCGTTCATTTGTTTCATTCAAATCTGCATTTGATGCGATGTAGCAAATACAAAATCAAAAGGAAAATCTCAAACAATAGAATTAAAAGAACATCAATTGCATAATACACGCACACATCGTAGTCGTCGAACAGTTATTTGGTGTTTGCGGTTTTTCAAAATGCTCTTTTCTCGCAAACGTATCAATTAAGATCGTTCTGTGATGTTGTATTTTTTCTTCTTCTTTCGATTCGTTTTCATTATATGCCCAAAGTTTTGCATGTGCACTTGAAAACATAGCATAATAACAACAACAAAAAAATTGGAGCAAAACGCGCTATGAAATCATCAACAAAGTATTTTACCGTAATCTTTATTTCGCTGCTGTTGCGACTTGAGTAGGTGGAAGTTGTAAGAATTGCAATAGCGTTTTTTTGTGTTTACCTCGAAATGGATGTGGTGAAGCAGCCGTTAGAATTTTAGTTAGTCACTTTGTCAGTGTGGATGTGTTTTGGTATGGGCCACTAATGGCATTTTCATGCATCCGAACCATAAATTAAATATCGTTCTAATTACGTTATGTTGAGTGGTTTACGCTTTAAGTGCCTTAATTTATATGATATAACAATGGGAACCACCTTTTCTTGATTCAATCTTTTCCTTCTCATTTCATATGCCGTTTGTTTGTGTGTGTGCGCACGATTAAAACACGATCGTCATTGTAACCATTGCCAATGCCGCGTGTGAGAACCAAATTGCAATCTTGAAGACAACACAGCAAAGAGCCCAAAGGCTCCAAATGGTGTTCACTCTATTTTACATATTATTACATTGTAAATCAAAAACAAAATATAAAAAAAAAGAAGTTCTCGCTCGTTTTGACACACAAACCAAATGCAATAAAACTCCGTTTTCTCTTCTGATCACACTTAATAAATATTATAATTAAGTTTTCCACAAACCATTTCACTTCTTATGAAAATGTTTCCGCTTCTTGTTTCAGATTATTTTCCATTTGCGCCCCAGTCCAACGTAAATGTATGGGAAAACATATACATTGATACCGATAATATGGAGTAAATGCTGAGGAAATTGCGACCATTTTTTCTACGCTGTAAATAAAAATTCCACGGTTTGTGTGTGTATTGCATGTCGTTGGATAATTATAAATTACCAGCATAAATTGAATAAATAATGTTATAGTCAAATTATTATAATTAAATGTGGAATGAACAACAAATAAACGTTCAATCGTTGAATGTGCATGTGTTTCGCATGTGAGTGCCTTGAAATTGATCCAACCCCATTTACAAATGGATATAAACACACGGTGAATACAGTTAGCCCACTAAAGAACTCTGCCAAGTAATTTTGAAACGAAACAACACCACAAAAAAAACACAAAGCCAGAGTAGAACGAGAAAAGTCCACGATTTAATTCGCGATTGAATAGCAAATCATCGTGTTCTACGATAATGGCATTGGAAGCGCCATATAAACAAAAAATAGCTCAACTCTAAGCCGATTTTTCGAAATGCACAGCATCGAGAATAAACAACACTAACCAACGCAACGCAAGAATATTACGAGTTTGAAAGCGAGAAAGAAAAAAAAAACCGTCCAGGTAATTAACACTTAGAATATAAATATCACACAGTGAGTTTTAAAAAAGAATAAAAGAAGAAAAAAAAATGTGCTCACTCTACTTTGTTCCACTACAATTCATCGTCATTTCTCGACTCAATACTGATACAAAAATAGCCACGCTAACTGGGTGTGAATTGATGAATTGAAATGAGAAAAAAGAAACCAACAAACGGAGCAGAAATTAAGTGAGCCAATGATTCTGACATTTCCCACAGAATTGTTAAGATAGCGACGCTGTCGGTCAATCGGTCGTTTTGACAATTGGGTAATACTCGAGATGAGACGCCCTAAGAAACACGATCACTTTCAGATTTAAAAAACAATGACCTTTAATTGTTAAGATTCGTTTAAATTACTTTTGATCGGTTTTTTTCTTTCTTAAAGAACTCCATAGTGGGATTTTTACGTTGACATTTTTTCGCATTTAATAATTGCATTCTCTCGCCGATTTGTGTGTGTTTTTTTTTTAAAGAAAAAACACCTTCTTTGTCTGTGATCAATTTTTTTGTCACAATTCATTACAATTTGATCAAAGATCTTCGAGATGACTTTATTTCCCAAACCAAATCCGGTTCTGAATCGATTGACATCGGTCGTATATTTTTACATGTTTTTTTTTGTAGCAATTCACATTTTACATCCATTCAAATCAATTTTAATCAAATTAATGTCAAATTTCTGTCCGATTGATCGTGAAAGATGTGTCGTTTATTTGTTCGCAACGTGTCTCTTGGGATAGATGATCATCAACCATATGAGTTTCCAGTTTTGTTTTAGTTTGATGTGATTTTATTTCAGTTCTCATTCGGATTTAAGGAATTTCAGCGTGTCATTTGACTTAAATTCCATCACGTGCGACGTTTTTATTTTTCTGTCCGATCACACAACATCACACCAACAACAACGACAGTAATCGTAGTAATGAAATTATTTTTGCGCGCGCGTTTGGTGTTAGGTGTCAAGATTTCAAATGAGCAAATCAATGATACAAATTTAGTGTATTAATAATGACGAAATATATCTTGGAGCAGGAAAAAAAAAACATGAATTGTAATAAAAAAACAGGAATTGCTCAAAATTTATTTGACAGAAATACAAGAATGGGAAAGGCTGAATATAAGTCGTTGTCAAGGTGAAATGAATAACAATGTTTTAAAGTGGTCTATTTGTTTATTAGAAGCTCTGTCGCGATTGCGAAATAAGCATTATAAATTCAGTTGCGATTATCGGGTTTGGCTTTTGGGAGAGTTAAAATTTGAGTTGTGAAGCCACACGCAAAAAAAAAACAATAACAGAGTTGGCGCATCGCTAAGCACAAGTGCACTCATGAATTTTACATCAAAAATCGTGGCAGTAGCAACAACGACACCATACTACGGTAGTACTATAGTTGTCATTTCTTGTTTGGCTAATCTCCTTTGGAACCAAAGTGGAGCACAATAGACACATATCGTTTGCGCGCATTTTCCGTGTATCGTTTTTTTCTTCTTCTTCTTCTTTTATAGGTCCTGGTGTGCAACGGGTCTTGCACAACAACAAAGAGAAATGCACGGCGTGTATCACGGCAAAATCTCGGTTGAGTAATGTAATCTTATAAGTGCATACGATATAATGCAATACACCAGAATGGTTCACAATGCACCATATATTTTTTTCAATTCGGTTTAATTTTGTTTTGTTGCTCGTCCGTCCGTCCGTCCGTTCGTCCGCTCGTCGTTGTTGTCATATGCAATGTGACATTTTGTGCGGTCAAACGAAGAAATTCAAGTGCAAAATCATTTTCTACAATTTTTTTGTTTTGTTTCTTTAGTCGTTTGTTCGCGTTTCGGTATGTGCATCACTTTAATGAAAGACTTTGAATACCGCGATATGCTTTTAGTCACATGGGCTAACGATCGGTCATAGCACAAATGAAATGTGTATGTATGGTTTACTTCTGGGTTTGCGCAAAAGACAGTGAAAATTACAGTTTGTTCGAGAAGGAAGCGAGAAGCAACCTCGAAGCGCTTACACATAAGATAACATGATAATAGCGTGACGTTATCACACAACCGTTGCAAATATACAATGCACAAATTACAATGCAACACAAAAAGAAAGAAAGAAAAAAATCACAAGACATCCACGCTCATTGTACACACATTATGGAATCAGTCTCAATTGCATTTGCTTTTGTCTACGGCACCGAAACAAATATATCTAATATAAGTGAATTATCCGCCACACTCTCTTAATGAGATTGTTGCAGGCAGCCAAAGTGCAAGGTAAAAAGCATTTGCTTTGGTTTTTCATTATTTTTTCCATTTTGCGGTGGTTTCCGTGCTCCAAAGCAAAAATCAAATACGTATATATTTTGTGCGGAATTCAATGTGCGATTGCTGCACGATATTGGACACAGAAGAGAGAGGAAATACAACGGCAAATCAATCTGAAGTAAATAATTTTCGTTTTTAAAATCATAAATTATGCGGTCGTTGAGTGCGAGTGTAACTTCCGTAATGTTTAAAATGAAAACATAGTTCGAATTTCATTGATTTTATTTTCTTCATGACCCCGTAAATAAATTGGTGCAAAGCACAGCTCTTTTTTTTCAATTGGTCGTCAGCAACAATGCTGATGTCCAGATTGACATCAATTGCCAAATGCGATTAGATTGGATAATAATTTGCAACACAATTGTAGCGGCAGCAATAACACAATAATTAAATTCCAATTTACACTCTGTTAACATGAGCAACGTCCAATAAACCCAAATAAAATCATCGTTCACACATCACTTTTAGGGGTTCCACTTCACACCTTTTTGACTCTTGGCTTCGAAGAAACCCATTCAAATGTAAATTAATTAGATTCGTTTAAATTTGTGGAGCGAACGAGTGTGATCAGTTCCAGGTCTTTTTTTTTTTGCGCGCATTTGCCATACACAAGCATTGTCTTTTCATGCATACTTAGACTTAAAAATGACAATAGAGAGTGAGAGAACAAAAGCAAACGAGAATTTGCATTCGAGCAAATCAAATAACAATTTATATTTAAAATATAATGAAAAGACGACTTAAAAAAACACACATATAACAGACAAGAAGTGAGAAGTAAATTGAAAGAAAGCTGAAAGTAAAAGCGTAAAATGCCAGTCATACGTGCAAATCTCAAATCTCGCACATATACACATCATCATCCACATCGTGGTCGTTGTCGTCGTCGACATCTTCGTCGCCGTAATCATCATCAGTTTCAGTTTCTTTCGAACGCACTCACGGTCTCTGACATATCTCTTACATGCGAATGTGCGCCGTCCACGTTTCAATGAGCCAAAATTGGTTGATTGCCATTTTCCGGTAAAGTTTCACGCTCTGCCGCATAAACGAATCTGTGAATCCACACTTGGTCTCGCATAAAAGAGAAATTATTTGATAATTATCATTAGATGGTGTTAGTTTTTGCACTCTCCCGCTTCATTTAATATCGCGTCTTCAATTCGTGCGTGTGGTTTTCTCTTTGGTTTTTGTTATTTTTACGATTGTTACTCTTTGTTTGGCAATTTCGATTACGCAAACTGGCCGAAGCAGCAAAAACTGACAACATGTAAAATGATGCCAACACGGAAAATGATCAATTGAAGATTCTCTCTCTATATATCATTGGATTTCTTTACGAATAAAATGACAGACAAACGAGTCTAGTCATCAGGTACAATAACGAATTCATGATCAATGAACGGGGCAAAATATGAAAAATGAACACAATGAAAATAAAATATGAACAATCAGGAAAGATAGCAAACACCATAAAAAGACAATGCGGCTGATATTTATGAATGTTATCACTCTGTACAAAGGGTCATAAGTTATGATTCACAACCGTAGCGACTAAAAATCATTACAAAAGCTATGCGTTGCTGTGTGAAAGACAACAGCACTGGTTCATTTGTGATTAGTTTTTTTTTTTGGATCTGTGCGGTAATCAATACTCGTTCATTTAGACGGAAGACAAAAATCGAAAATGATCAATTTCCTGAACACATAGGAATATCTAAGAGGCGACAAATAACGAAACTAAGACGATATATTCAATAATAATGATTGATCTTACACGTAATCGTCATCGATTCAACGATTGAAGGTGAAAAGTTCACCAATTGACCATCGAAGCGTCACATCAATGAATTGAATGCGCGTCGTGATTTACAGTCACTTGGCATAATCATTATTTCGTTGTCCGTTTTTTTTTGTTGTTGCTATTTGTTTCATTTGTGATGTGATCGCGAAATCTATTCACTTTTTTTTCTCTGTCATCGCGGTCCAGCGAACATTGAACCGTCCAATTGTCAATACAAACACACATACAAATACGGTTCTTCAATTGCTCCATTACACAACAACAAAATCGGGTATTGTGCATTGTGCATGTTTGCCATTGTTAGCGCAATTAGTTAGAAAGATGACTTGGAATTGGCGTGCAAACGAGGAAAAATCCAAACGAGAAATTTAAAACAAGAAAAAAAAAACAAAAACCCAACGAAATGTGAGCCCATTATTTGGTTATTTACTTCGGTGTGTGATCGACCGTTTCTCGTACGTGGCTGTGTCTCTTGTTTTTTTCGTGCTTTCCGATTATTTCATTTGCGTGAAAAACTGTTTCGTGTCTGGCTGCAATTTCTTTTCTTCGCTACTTTCGGTGTAAGTGTCTTAATTTGTTCCAAGCGAGCCGGTTGGTTACGCATCATGCACGTCGCAATGAAAGTGATTCTCATTAAGTCTGGTGTGTTCGCCGTGAAAACTTGAAATTTTAATTGAAATTCATGTACAAACAAAAACAAAAAGATAAAAACAACAACGATCGATCGGCTGGCCGAGCCAATGTAATAAATAGAATTGAACGAGAGAATTTACGCATATTAAATTGGACATAGCCACCACTTTCCGTGCTGTGCATCGACTGACATCGTTGTGGACGGCTTTTTTTCTGTTGCCATAA